CCCCCCCCCCCCCCCCAAATAAAGAAAGACCGAAAATCCTTGTCATTTAAAAAAATTTTCTCTGCCATGATTCACGTTTTTTCTGTATGCATATAAACACAATGCAAAAAACAAACCACACAAAAAACCTTGCTCTTTGTTATTGTTTGTCTTCGCCTCACCGACCATCTCCAACAAAGGCTGCTTCCACCCTTCCAGGTTTTGCACTCAAAACTAGGGAGAAAAACTTCGACCAAGAAACGCAAAGACCCCAATAACCGTGAAGAAAACTTCGACCACGAGAACGCAGCAAGAATGAAGATTGGTACTTTCCCCACCGCTCCAGCACAAAATGGGTACCGAAGACTTTTCTGTTAGCCCCGTCAGTTTGTTACTGGCTCATGCCCGGTTGCGACGATCCTCCTATTTTCTCTAAAGGCAAACCCAAACGGGGCAAGTAGCGAAACGACGACGGACCAGCAAACTTATCTCCAGGACATTTTGATTTCCCCACATTTCTTTTGTGGACCAGCAACCCCTGCTACATCAACCGGAACTTTTATGACAATTGATTCCCAATATTTCCGTGATAACCCACCTAACAATCGATTTTTTTCGGACTTGCAAACCACAGCAAACAATGCACGTTCGCAACAGCATATTCTTTTATAATAATTCAAACAATGGTTCGGAAATTATTCTCAATGAGAAAATGGCTTTTGTCAAATACACTTCCCTGTGAGATTTAATTTAAATCTGCTTATGAACGAAGATTCATGAGGCCCTCCCTCCACGAAATCATAAGTACGAGTGTTTTTGTGCAGCATCACGTTCAGGTATCCACAATCAGACAGTTGTCAGAGTCCTCAGATAATAAACCCTACAAATTACGGATACGTTCGCCCAGACTGACCACATCTAACCATATGACCAGATAGTGGAGAAACAACAGATGTTTATCCTTTAGGACGGTAGGTGGATATTATGCAACGAACATGTCAGTGAAAGTGGAACAACACAACAACACCAAGGCAAAACAAACAATGAAAATAAACAAGACAAATAAAAATAAACGAGAAGACAAGAGAACGAGAAAATAGCGCGGAATGTGAGGAATTACGAGGTTGATAAAAGGGACAGAAATGTAAAAGATCGGACGAAAAACCAGACATGAAGCAAAATGACCACAGTTTTAGAGTGTAACGCGCAACGGTGGTTGTGTGTGCAACAGCGGGAGATGCTAGACGAGGTCTACTTCCTCAAGCCCTTCGTCATCGTCCATGAGTCGAGTGTGGGTGAACTTTTTCTGTTGCTCTGCGGACGATCGGGTTTTACGGTGTTTCATCAATCGCATATGCAAACGTTTTGGCAAGCTTTCTGTGGCCCCGGATGCAATGCGGACAGATAAGTTCTGCTCCCGTTCGTCCACTATATCTTCATCTTCCTCCTCATAGTTATCTTCCCTGTCGCTAAGCATGGCCTTTCGTGTTTCGTCCCTGTTCAATTCTGTTTCGCCGGACTGGTTCACTGGTAGCAGACGGTACGCACCTCGATTCACTTCGCCCGAGTGGATGGTTTTGCTTACAGCATTCGCAGTCCAAGGCCGCAGCCCGAAAGCGCGCCGAGCCATGGCATACGGGGTTCGAGCACGACAGCAGAATCGATAGCACAACCAAATTGTGGCAAGACAAAGACAAACGGCAGCCAATGATCCTGTGAGAAACGCGAATACAAAGAACAATACAAGTTATACATGAATGGATCAAAGCAACAGACACGAAGATGTTTACTTTGAAAGGGTTTCCCCAAGACGAACACGGTTGAGAGTCGGAAAGAAGGACTAACGATGCAATGATTAGTGCAGTCGTTGTAAAATGAGATAAACAACCACATTTGAATCCAAAACCACCGAAAACAGCAGAGTTGCATCGAACTGAATTGATTCGAAGCGAAGTGAATGTTTCTAAGTAGCACTTCTCAATGATGAAACCGTTATCGGTTATCACATCTGCTGAAAAGGAATCGTTACGACGCCTGCAATGACATTGATATATCTCGCAATCACACGATGGGAAAAGATCTGACAACATGCACAGTAGTTTGACGTTTCCTGCCAACTCACAGAAAGTCACCTCCGAGAGAAAGTGCGCATCCCTCAGTGGCAGAGATAAATGGGCACTATGTGATCCATCGTTTGCCAGAAAATAATCCTGCACGTTGATCCAGATAGCCAGCTAAAAGTTGGTGCTAAAAACCCTTCCAACTGGAGCTCGAGCCGTCAAATAATCTGTCAGTGGATTTGCACTGTTGGTAATTTCTGACAAGGATTAGCCAGCTGTACAGTCCTTCAAAGTTTTTCAGTGGTAAGGTAGAACGGTGACGCTGTACAACGATTGAAGTTTTATTCAATCAATCTCTTCTTTAAATAATAAAAACGAAAATGGTCAAACCATCTGTTTGTGTTGTGATAACTTTTGATGGGTGGCAGCTCGTTATTTAAAACGTGGCTGTATCATTATCTATTCAATAACAGGAAAGAAAAGAATATTTCGGAAATCTATTTTATCAATACATCTGAGATGCCCAGATGTACACTCACCTGCAATTGAGAGCACATATATACGAGTGCTCAAGGACATGGCACTAACTGGTTGGAGGCGGAAAACTCGGTAGACTGGTCCCCGGAGCATTCCGATTTTAACAGTTTCACTATGATCCAAGAATCCTGAAGCACGAAAANTACGTTCCAGGTGGGAGAGGCAGACTGAAATGACCTTCATGATTCGGGCAACCGGTAGAGGCTTCACTTCGCATGAAGTCTACATGCACTCGCACCCAAGGGATCGGGGATCCGGTAATAGACTGTTGGAAGCAGTTTGGTGGGTGTTGGGAGAAAAAATAGTATCATCATGGCGTCTGTTAGCGCGGTGGATGACAGGCAAGTATGAACAATTTTAAATGCCACACGCACAGCAAGTTGTCCGGAATGGTGTCTGATTATTTGGGTCTGGAAGTTTACTATTTAAAAAAGAATTGAAACAGTGTACTCCGTATTGGCACGAAATATGGTCAACAATATCAGATGTCCAACTCAAATAAACCGGGCCACGAAAGTAAAACAGAAGCACATCGGGTATTTAGCTTCACAGAAAGCAAAACGAACGGACGCTCATTGTCGCACATGCCAGTTGATGAAACAAGGCACTTTTTTTTACATTACTCACTAACTGGGCATTCACAATCAGATTAGAACTGTGGGAGTCCAGTTATGTATTTAGATAGCACACATGAACGTCATGAGGGTTGTTTTTGGATCAGCGCACCACTGTCCTCGCTCGTCAAGTCACGCTTCATTTTTGTGCTTGTAGGACCAAAGCAATCCGAACAGAATTCGCGGACTGCCCCTCGTGCAAGAACAGACGATTGTTCCGTACACCACCAGCATTAGGATGGCCACATATTCAGCTAATACTTGATTGAATTGTGTGTGGATGGAATTTCGAAATTTTGACACAATGATTTTATACCAAATGTGATGTGAAATGAGTTGGTTCGAACTCGACAATTTTGAATTCTTTGTTGCACGGTTTGTTTCGGGAACTGTATTTTATGATCAAAGCAGATTCAAGAAAAACATGATTACTTCAAATAATACTTAAAATTGCTATTTCTCAGGAACTAATTCACCGATGGTACGTACCACAACTTGTCCGATTAGGCCGGAACTTCCTTGTGCGGTCAAACTGGCATGACTTAGCAAACCAACTAAAAGACTTGGCAACCGAAAATCGCTCCAGACTCGAGCGATCCCAATCGGAGAGGCGGCTAGACAGGCAGGACATAATGTCAGTGCCAAGCTGACTGGAGGTGTTAGAGGCAACGGGGGAGGGAAAGATCGACTGTGCTGTAGCTGATGTTCGGGAAGTTCATTGAGTGCCAATTCCGGAGACATAGAGGCCAAAGACAATGCAAGGGGCATCAGCTGAGATGAGTCCCACTGGCGAGAGCGTGATCCAACGGCAACAGTATTCAACATGAGATGTTCTCTCAGCCTATGAACTCGCTGAATTGTTGAGTGAGAAGTTGTCAACAACGCTTTGGAGACCGCGCCTTTCTCGGAACACATGGAAGAATAACGATGAAATCCCGGTGCCATCAAGTGACCCAAGAAACGTAACCATTTGTGTGTTTCGGAAATCCATTCCTGAGCGACATCACCTTCCATTAAATCTGAGGACAAAGAAATAGAATACACTTGGATAGAAGTAGTTTCAGACCGAAGAATGGGTCTGATGGACCCGGGGGAATGCGAATTTATAAAACAATTTTCCCATACAAATGAAGTGAACGTAGACGGCACTTAAATATTTCAAATCATAACGATCATGGCTAAATAAAATATGTGGAAAGCGGGGCATTGAATCTGTCCGGGGCATTGGGAAAGTAGTATTGAAAGCTATAGTGAGTAACGAATTGACACGCGTCAATTGATCACTAACTGGTATAGATTTTTTGGTGGCCGGGTGGTTCCATCATATATATAGCACCGGCTTGAAGACAAGCATGGTGCCAACGCAACAACAATAATAACAATAACAATAAAACGGGATAGGTGGATTGGGGTACAGAACAAAGTGAAAAGGGGGTGAAACAGTTAAACATGGGAAAATGAAAGATAACAGAATTTTTTTGTGTTTCACCGTACACCTTTTGCAATTTTTTTGTGTTGTTTGTTGTGCTTTTTCTATCCTAGAATGCAATGGTTAGCTCAACTCCTCTCTTACTAAGTNTTACTAAGTGATCCGTTGACCGAGTAACTGTCAGACATGACTGACCGTTTCATGTCTTTCCAGAAAAATTCAAAATGATGCAGTCTTTAATAAGAGCTGAGCTTATTTGAAGGAGGCTGTTGTGAAGAAGGAAATTCTCATCGAATTCTCTTCTACTAGGGTCAGAAGGAAGCAATGAAGAGGGACGAAAAACCATTAAAAATGGTGTTTCTATTGGAAAAAACAGTGCAAAAGAGAATCCGTTAACGAGCATGTTTTACTGCATCTCTGCTTGATTTAATGACCAGCGCACATGCTGAAAATCATAGCGGTCACATCACCAAAAAGAGATCCCCAAAAGAGAGAAATTTGTGCAGAACGGCTTCGAAGATGTTACTTGTCTTCGAATGTGTATTCGTCATACAGAGAACACGTGTCATTCTCCCTTGAAAAGTATCGGAAGCACTGCACAATAGTTTAATTCTTGCTAGTAATTATTAGCAGTGCATATATATCAACTGGGATTCGAACCCAGGAACGAGGGTTTATTGAGTTGATGCACCAACTACTTCAGTTAACCAGATTGATTCTCACCAGCTTGCTACACCTAAACACTATCTGATCTTGTGCTCATCAAACTCTGCCGTTGAAGATACAGGACCTTTCCAAACTGTTTTAAATTCCCCGACGCACTTCTCAGCGGTGCTTGATTTTGAACTTGCAGTAGCAAACCTGTAGTACCTCTCAGGAATATTGTACACCTGAAATATACTAATATTTGTCACTCCAGCTGATTGTATCGATTTAACCGAAATGTCTTACCTGTGTAATCTCTTCTCAGCAATTAGAACATTTTCCATTATCATGGCAACCTAAATGATCAAGTTGAATTATCTAATACCTATTACCTCTTCGACTTCAGGGAGTCAACTTACTACCTGAGAATCTGCCGAACAACTGAACTTAAAAAAATTCCGAAAACTGCCTTGTTCTGGGACAACTTACTCGACAAAGGATAACCCAAGGGAGGTGATTATTTAGAATTCAGGACCAATTAAGACGGCTGACAACGATCCAACGAAATAACCATTGCACATGTACCTTCCCTTGCGTTCCATAATGCCCATAAACGAATCCTCACGCGCCTCCAGCTGTGTTCCAATTTACTACCCGTGTAATCGTTATTTGGACGAGAAAGCGTTACCAAGAGACGAGTATTTAGGGATACTGTATCGAACTTCAAACAGTGAAATAGGCGAAACCCAAGTTGGAAAAGGGCTGAGATGCAGTCAATAGACTTACTACCACTAAGGCAGAAGAGCACACATCCAAACACAAACACTAGTTACTCAAGTAGATCCATAATGGACAATAATCTCAGCGTGGTGACTGGTAGCGCTGGTGGAACAGAAAACGACGACGTACCCAAACCGTAATCAATGGATGGAGAAGAGGCTCCTGACGGTAAACTGAGTATTGCATTCGGTTGGTAAGTACGCATCCACGAAACCAGAGTTTTAACTTCAACGGATAAGGAATCAGATAGATTCGCAGCTTGTGGTGACTCCCACCACCAATGATGTGGGTTTAATGTTCGTGCTTTGGTCAAATCTAGATGGAAGAACGGGCAGGAGTGAAGAGAAATAAAAATATAAGAGCATCCATGGAGAACGGTATTTAATCTGCATAACACCGAAGGATTCGTTTTATCCTTAAATCAAGCACACTTTGCACAGTGTATTTTGTAATCGGGTGTTGCGGCTTGTGCGTATCAGTCCCCGATCAGAACGCTGTTCTAGGACCGTTAACCCATCAAGTATTGATCAACTTTGTTAACTGGGTTTGCTTGACTGCTTCAAAGAAAATCTTACCGCCTACAATAATGTA